GGAGGCTTCGATGCCGGGCAGGTGGCGCGGCAGGGCTTTGATGCCGGGCGCGGCAGGGCTTTGATGCCGGCGGCAGGGTGGAGGCTTCATTGTTGAATCAATATTGCATCAGTTTTGAATCATCTTCAGTCAAAATTGATGCAATATTGACAAGTCCACCTCTCTCTTTAGAGGGAGCTCAAGAGCACAGTTGCGCTTCTTTGCAGAGCACACTTCTTTGTAGTTCTTTGCAGAGCACACTTCTTTGCAGAGCACACTTCTTTGCAGAGCACACTTCTTTGTGGAGCACTCTTCTTTGCAGAGCACACTTCTTTGCAGAGCACTCTTCTTTGCAGAGCACAGCACTCTTCTTTGCAGAGCACACTTCTTTGCAGAGCACTCTTCTTTGCAGAGCACACTTGCGCTTCTTGGCAGAGGGCTCTTCTTTGCAGAGCACTTTCTTTGCAGAGCGCACTTGCGCTTCTTTGCAGAGCACACTTCTTTGCAGAGCGCTCTTCTTTGCAGAGCACACTGCTTTGCGCTTCTTTGCAGAGCACTCTTCTTTGCAGAGCACACTTGCGCTTCTTTGCAGAGCAGCTTCTTTGCAGAGCACACTTCTTTGCAGAGCACACTTCTTTGCAGAGCACTTCTTCTTTGCAGAGCACACTTCTTTGCGGAGCACACTTGCGCTTCTTTGCAGAGCACAGAGCACTCTTCTTCGCAGAGCACTCTTCTTTGCAGAGCACTCTTCTTTGCAGAGCACTCTTCTTTGCAGAGCACACTTGCGCTTCTTTGCAGAGCACTCTTCTTTGCAGAGCACACTTGCGCTTCTTTGCAGAGCAGACTTCTTTGCAGAGCACACTTCTTTGCAGAGCGCACTTCTTTGCAGAGCACACTTGCGCTTCTTTGCAGAGCACACTTCTTTGCGGAGCACACTTGCGCTTCTTTGCAGAGCACAGAGCACTCTTCTTCGCAGAGCACTCTTCTTTGCAGAGCACTCTTCTTTGCAGAGCACTCTTCTTTGCAGAGCACACTTGCGCTTCTTTGCAGAGCACTCTTCTTTGCAGAGCACACTTCTTTGCAGAGCACACTTTTTTGCAGAGCACACTTCTTTGCAGAGCGCTCTTCTTTGCAGAGCACTCTTCTTTGCAGAGCATTCTTCTTTGCAGAGCGCTCTTCTTTGCAGAGCACACTTGCGCTTCTTTGCAGAGCAATTTTCTTTGCAGAGCACACTTCTTTGCAGAGCGCACTTCTTTGCAGAGCACTCTTCTTTGCAGAGCACACTTGCGCTTCTTTGCAGAGCGCTCTTCTTTGCAGAGCAGACTTCTTTGCAGAGCGCACTTCTTTGCAGAGCACACTTCTTTGCAGAGCAGACCAAGCTCTCTCTTTAGAGGGGGTTTCCCAAATGGATTCTATTCCACCTGGTAGGCTCCTGGCACTCGTCCGTCCAGGAAACGACCTTGTCCTGCGAAGGATTCGAAACCTAAAACGCTGCGTGCAGGCGTGTGGCTGCAACAAAACGACCCCGAGATATGCGCCGCAATTTGGCTCCAGGTTGCATTTCAAGCGATGTCAAGCTTTGCCAAAGGAAACCCCTTCCATTTTTTTCGGGACCCCTTTTTTGGGGACCCCTTTTTTCGGTTTTTTGTTTTTTCTTAGCCCTGCAAAGGTTGGCTCGCTTGAAATGCAACCTGGAGCCAAATTGCGGCGCATATCTCGGGGTCGTTTTGTTGCAGCCACACGCCTGCACGCAGCGTTTTAGGTTTCAAATCCTCGCAGGACGAGGTCGTTTCCTGGACGCATTTGGGAAACCCCCTCTAAAGAGAGAGACAACAGTTCTTCGCTATCAGGGTGCTGGCGGAGTCCCAAAAAAACCTACCTTGAGGAGGAGATCACCAGCAAAGGAATCGAGCCCCGTGCGGAGTAAGAAAAAATTAGCTCCTTGGCCGACGCCTTAGCCACTGGACTAAGGTCGGCGAAAACATATGTAAACATGTTTGAAGGACCTCCGGCATCCCGGAGGTCCTGGACAACGGAGAGGTTCACCGCAGGGCAGCTGGCCCTCGCTCCCTACGCGCAAGTAACAGACCTGGCCGTGAACACGGCAGCCTCCGGCAACAACGCAGCCGCCATCCAGTCCCTGGACGACCGAGTCACCGCAGAGCTGGCCTCGAAGCTGGACAGCAGCGCACTGGCGCCGGCGATCGCTCCTCTGGCCACAGCAGCAGCCCCACCACGGACGGGCAGGTGGCCGCGCACGGAAGCAGCATTGCCGCACAGAGCTCGCTGACCACGGGTCTCTAACAAGGCCGACCAGTTGGCCTTCGACGTGCTGGAGGGTGGCTACGAAGAGCACCCCCGACGGCGTGGACCTGAAGCTGTTGAACTACAGCACCACGGCGGCCATGAACGGCTCCATCGCTCGGCCAACAACGCCACGCTGGTCACGGTGGCCGCCTGCGGCCTCAAGACGGTGGTGGACCAGCACTCCCTCGACATCGCAGCAAGGATCACGCCGCTGGAGGTCGACACCAAGGTGGCCAACGCTCTCCTGGGCGTCGTGTCCGCCGCAGCGCTGGCCTCCGAGCTTGCGAGTCAAGACGCGGCCTCCAAGGCGGACGCCAGCGCGCTGACCGCGTACCCTGCAGTCGGCCGTCGACACTTCCTCGGAGGTGGGCTCGAAGATTGCAGCCGCCCTCCTGGACGCAGTTACCACGGCAGCCCTGGACGGATAGCAAATGCCCTGCTGGGTCTCGCCACCGAGGCCTTTGTCGCAGCGCAGCTTGCTGGCCGGGACGCCAGCATCTCGGCTCCAGGGCGCCAAGGCCGACGCAGCAACAATGTGGAGCTAAGACGGAACAATTCACGGAAGATTCGGCATCATATGCGCCCAGTTGCCAATGACAACACGTGCAGCATCCTGGACGGACGGAGTGGCAGCGGAACCGCGGCTACCAGCGGCAGCATGGGCAGTTTTAGAACCATTGTGTCATTTACCGTGCCAGTTGAGCTCGGAAAATGGTGCCACAAGATTTTGGTTTGCCCCCTCACAGCACATAGGTGAGCCGTGCAATGGGGGGCATTGGAAACCCGTTTTGGTTGTGCGGCGGTGCCCTTGTTGCCGACATGATTTGTCTGAAAGACGAAGTTGTTGATCCTGAAACACGTGCAGTGGAAGCTGTCTCATACTTAGATTCGGTTGCGGCGCGCGAGTTGCCACCAGCATTGTCCGGCTGCGCTGTTTGTTTGGTGCAACTTGCTACCAGAGCGGGTGCAGTCCACAGTGCGCAGGAGCATGTTCAGTTGGCTTTTTGCAGCGTGCGGGTTGAACATAGCATTTCCGGTGCACAGTGTTTCCGACTTAAGCCAACATAATTTTTGCAAACACGTGGCCTGCACGCGTAATGTCGCGGCCAATTTTTTTTTTCCCAACGCCTTTGCGCGCGCCGTTATCATTTTTGGAAACCCAACTCACGTGATGACAGACTCGGCAAAAGGTGCATATGCATTCACTGTTAATAAGCTTATTGAGGACGTGCCGAAGTTTGGCAAGATGTGGCGTAGCAGAGCATGCCAACAGTATTCCAGCTACCTGTGTCAGGCGTGCGTTGGACATGGCTTTGACGCCCTCTGTCACAAGGGCAGTAGTTTTCAGTGCGAACGGCGGTATGGCTGGCCTTAAAACTTTTGGGGATGCAAGCGCCATGGCTTGGAAAACCATGCTTGAGGGAGGACGATGGTTGACGCCCGAACGTTTCGACCAGTAGAGCTAATGCTTCATGTGCCGAAGCCACGGTTTCTTTAAAGAGTAGATTCACTTTGCGAGTAGGAAACACTGTTTTTTTTTTTTTTTTTTTTTTTTCTCCGTGCCCTCTTTCCCTCGTTGTTTGTGGTTTCCGGCCCCTTGTTTCACGCTCTCCATGAGCTTGCGCAAGTACTTCGACCGCTGGCCAACAGGCCCATGGCGTTGGGCGCAAAAACACATGGCCATGTGAATTTCTACTTTGTCTTAATCGTGAAACTTCTAGGGTCCGGGATCTTGCACTGAAGCACATCAAATGATCCGTTGACGTGAGACAAATAGCTCTGTACAAAGGCTGCGCACCATTGAAGATTGCAATCACTGGGAAGACATATATCCGCTGTTATCCTTCCACACTGAACTTATGAAATCCCGAAGTCCATTTGGATATTGTGACCGACTGTCACTGAAGTATTCTGTTCCAGATGTAGTGTATTCGAGACACAAGGTGGACCGAAGATAGCCTCTCATCGAGTAACATTTTTTTTGATTAGGAGTAGAATATTGTAATGAGGACATGATCATCTCGGTGCTCTGCTTCAGACCGTTTGTATGTCGGAATTATGTCAACCATGCAAATGTTTTGAAATACCGGAGAATCGCCGGTTGCACATGAGTACCTTTTGCAAAGCATCGCGTGGATGAAATATAGAAATGCAAATCAAACGCTAGTTTAGATTTTCGTGGTAGCATGGAGCTTTGTCCAACGCATGCCAATCAGATCAGTACTATTCATTCAAGATTTTGCAACAGGATGTTTCGTGCTGAAATGGGGCCCACGCATCGCGGTGTTTGTTTTTGCTTGGAACTGAATCATGCGCGGTTGCAACAATGGCTTGCGGTCACAACTTCTCAAGCTATTTGTGCATTGTTACACATGTGTTCTTGTCGGACATTGTAGCTACCTAGGCGGTAATTGTGTATGAGAGAATGATCTGACAACCATGCCTTGGGCAATGCGTATTGTATTGTCAGAGAGGACTTTTGACAATTGTTTTTTTTCCTGCACGGCCGCTTTTTAGCTGCTGCCTCCCGACCTTGTTGCGAACCTTTTAAGACTGCAGCTTTGCACCGATCATTGCTGCCATGATGACCAACCACCATTTGTCTATGCTGGTTTCTACATCTTCTACGTTTTCACGAATCATGATCAATGGCTGTTGTGGCTGCGGCTCAAGTGGCAGGGTAGTTATTTGTTTGATAGGGGTTGGCGCAGAACATGCCAATCCGTGTCGGCTTTCTGATCGGCAAGGCCTGCCATCATTGAACGTTGCATTGCTTCCGTATTGCTTGATGCCCTAGCACAACCGCGCCAGCACAGGAATGGCATGTGCAATTTGGTGCCATTGTGAACACTGTTCAGGACACGGATTTGGTGGAGGATGCAAAGTATGTTGGCGACGCTTCGTTTTTGAGCGACATGCCCGATAAGACGCTTGGATTCATGGCTGCAGTTTCTTCAAAGTCACGTTTGCATGCTGCGCTTCTGCTGTGTTTGCCTGCAAGGTACCGAGTCGATCCAGAGAGCAAGGACACGCCTTGCATTTTTATTGCTTGCCGAGGGGTTTGTGTTTCAGGAGTACTTGAAGGATTGTGAGGATGGTACAAAGGGGTTCGCACATGCGGATGTGGCTTGGTGGCAAGGATCCACGGCTTGTCCGGCGCATGCGGCCTAGATTCAGCCACCACCAATGGCACATCGTGAGGTGGCTATTCCTTGGTACATCCACAAGCATCATAAAGACATCGAGGCAGTTTTGCAATGTGTGGAATCGACAAGTGCTTGGGAACGCTGGTGCTTAGTGAGCTAGTTATCATCAGACAAACATTGAGCGCATCTAGCATGATCATCACTCACACGCGTGAGCACTCATATACTTACTCACAGCTGGAAACGTTGAAAAAGCACGCAGCATGTATGACGATCAATCATCATACACACGCGCATTCGCCATCGAGTGGGCAAAACAATCGACAACAACGTGCAGATACCGTGCAATGGCAGCTACAATGGCAGCTACTGCTGAGATGGTGATGGGCCACCAGTCCAGGTGTAACACTTTTCCCGAGCGCCAAGGACATTGGTGCAGGCCAAAACCGAGATTGGCCTGGATGCCATCAAAGTCTTTTTGCATTGGTTTCGCAGTTGCCCCAATACTGGCTCATCGCAGATTCAGGAATTCCGTGCTTCCGAGACATGCTTCAGATCCTGAAAGTGATGGAACACTGGGAGTTGCAGAGAGGTATTCATCAGAGGACTGGTCAGAGCACATGCTGAACTTCCCCAGATCTGTCATTTTGAAACGCATTCGATCTCATTTGGCTTTCAATTCAATTTTTGCGCTTTGTGTGCAATTGTTTCATTACCTCACTGGTGTGGTACGTCCTCCGCCGTTGGCGCTTTTGAGCGCGTGCTCAACTGCTTTGGGGCTGCTTTTGGTCTTTCGAACCACGGCAGCCTACGAGCGCTGGTGTGCCGGATACCGATGCGTGAGGGAAACGAAGCAGCATCTTCAGCAGCTCCGCCGCTTGGCGCGGTTGTGGATGTCCGACAACGACTTGGAATGGATGGACGCAGAACTAGCCACGTTTCCAGCATTTCTCGGCACCTTTTTGGGAGGGGGAGTTGGAGCACGTGGCAAATCCTGGGCAATGATTGGTGAGTTTGAGCGAGATCCACGTGATATTCTAGTTTCCTTTGGGGAGGGTATTTACAGACGAGCAGCAGATGCATCAGCATCTGTACTTTACATCGAGGCAGGCTTTTGCCCAACATCGGGAAGGAACATTTTCATTTGTTCAGTTTGCTGAAGTCAAACCAGGGCTTCCGAGCCACCGGGGCATGACATTGAGAAGGGGGCTTGCACGGAAGTCACAAGTGTTGCGCTTCAGCGGAAGGACAGGATGCAAGGCCACATTACAGGGACGCTGGCCTGTATCGAGGAGATGGCCCAGATTGTGACCGTTCCGGCAAAGGTCTCAATGAATCGTCAAGCTTGAGTTTTCACTTACAATGATCACACCTTCCCCCTACCAAGGTTGCTTCAGAATACTCGAGGCACACCTCTCGCTTTTTGATCCTTGCGCAGCATTCATTTTGCTCGTTGCATACATGTTTGGCAGCTTCTTCCTACTTTTACTAGCGGCACGGGCAGGAATCGGATTGACTACAGTGATTCATAGCTCAGGACAGTGTACATTTTGATTCTGCCGTTCGCGCTTATCGAGTTGGGCGTTTTTATGCCAGCTGCCGTCACGGTGGCAGCTTGGGCATTGCTTGCTATCGAGGACTTGCAGCTCTCTGCCGTGGCAGCATAGTTTCTTGAGGGAGAAGTGCATGGGACAATTGTGCCGCCTACTGTCAACCCTTGATTGATTGAATCATATGGCTCCATATCCTGCTGTTTGTTCCTATCCTTGCGCTTGATGCCTGTCGGATTTGCCAGGAGATTGGTCACACGCTAGAAGATCCTTTCAATAGTCCTACACAGTAGCTTGGTGCATTTTTCCACTGTTTGTAGATTTGCGAAGCCCGTGTGACTGCACCTAAGGCCATTGAATGTTCAAGCATACTTGGAGCAGCCGTTGGGGTACGAACCTCTCATGCAAGCTCAGCCGCCTTTTGAAGCGGAGACGGGGATGGCGGACAAAGATGCCGCTCTTGAGCCTGAGCCTTTGGAGCCTTTGGAGCCTTCCGGTCCTTCTGAGCCTTCTGAGCCTTCTGCGCCTTCGGAGCCTTCTAGGCTTTCGGAGCCTTTGGAGCCTTCTGAGTCGCTGGAGCCTTCCGACCCTGAGCTCACCAAAGACAAGTGAGCCATGAGTACGGCTCTCGTTGGAGACCATGTTAGAACGTGGCAAAGTCTCTGTTGGCAAGCTTGACAAGTGGAGCAAGAATGGCAAAGTACTGCGGTTGTGGCGAAGCCTTGCCGTTATTGTTTGTTGCGCAGGTGGACATGATCTTTCCAGAGGACATATCAACGAAGCGCCAATGACTCAGAAGCACCAAAACATGGCCAATGTATGATGCATTGTCTAAGCAGGGATTACCACCTCGCTATGAGGCCTGTCAACAGTTCTCAAACCAGTAGCTAGGCCCTGTTGATTCGTGCTTTCATGGCTATCTCAAGTTTGATCCCGCATACTGCTAGTTTTGAATTACCGTCCCTCCAATAGTCATAAACTATGGGCGTTGGCAGGAAGGGTTGGGTTCACTATTTGCTTTCCTCCTTAAACAACTCTAGCGACAGCTGGCAGCTAGCCAATTGCCAATGGCGAATCAATTATTCCTGCTGGATGCGGCGTTGTTATTGTGTGATTCCTTCCCCTCCTTTCTTGTTTTGTTCTGTTGCTGCATGCTGGGCTGCATTTGCTTAGACCCGCTGCAGAAGCAGGTGATGCTGTTGTGGCTGACATACCACGCTGTTTGCAGCTTGTGTTTGTTCACTTTTTTGGGTTATTCGTTACTTGTTTGGGTTGTCCTCTCCACTGACAGTACTACTACTTCTGTTGCACCACCACTACTACTACTACTACTACTACTACTACTACTACTACTACTACTACTACTACTACTAGTACTACTACTACTACTACTACTACTAGTACTAGTACTACTCCTACTCCTACTCCTACTCCTACTCCTATTACTGCTTCTGCTACTACTACTTCTGCTACTTCTGCTACTTCTGCTACTACTACTAGAACTACTACTGTCATCACTTCTACTACTACTGCTACTTCACTACTACTGCTACTATCACTATCACTACTACTGCTACTTCTACTACTGCTACTATCACTATCACTACTACTGCTAACTGTTTATGTTTTTGATCCTGAATTAATTGTTTATTGATCCCTCAGGCGTGCGGTTTGGTTGGCACAAGAGGTTTCTGGCAGCCTGCAAGGTTATATGGAATGTTCATTGCTGTTCGTGCGAGCTCGAGGCCCATAATTTCCAAAAGAGTCAACGGGGCCTAAGCCAAGGCAGGGAGGTATGGGCTACTGTTCGATGGTCCGCTTTGGCCATCATTGCTGCAGCGTTCATATGCACAAAGTCTCGTGCTCAGCCGAAAGGCCATGCCATGTTGCAACTTGCAGCCAAGATGCATTGCCCGCACCGAGCTTTTGTGGCCAACTCTTCGACGCTTAAGCTGAAATATATCCAACAAATCTCTGAAATTGGCCTGGGGGCTTATCTGCTGTCAAAGCCAAGCCAAGCAAAAACGTGCGCTGCTGATGATGAGCACTAAAATCACGCACAAGCTTATGGCAACATCGCAAGGTCATCAAGAGTAATGCGTCATCGAGCCGCTGTGGGCGGCGCTGGGCATATGTTCACATCGTCATTATGTGTCGGTCGCCTCAGCAGAGGGATGAGGCTTCAGATGATGCTGATCCGCACTGCAATTTTTCGCACGTTTCGCACACAGCTAGGCCCCTTCGCTTCCTATTTGCTCCCGACTTCTTTCCCAAACTGTTTCCAGCTTGCCCATCCTTTACTACTTTGCCCGCGTATGCTCCTTTCACAAGGTCATATTTGCATCGATCTGGTTACACTTTGCATCTACCAGGCAAGCCTTTCTGGGTGTGGCTGTGGGTCCAAAATAGGTACCCCAAATGGAACCCTGGCAACTGGAAACATGGACCAAAACCTGTGGTCTCTGGTGGTTTAATTTTGACCCATACCCGTGTCTGCATACACAGGCAAGCCTTTCGAACCCCATGGAACCCTGCAACTGGAAACATGGTGTCTGCATACACAGGCAAGCCTTTCGAGCCATGCATCCCACTCTTTACTTGGCTGTGCCGCATTCGCCACCACCCTTCTTATGCGCTGATTTTTTCATCCCGTGAGGTTTCTTTTGCATTGGCCTAGTCAGTTCTGTTGGTTTAGACAAAAAACAACAACATGTCATGCGGTCTATACCATGAACTTTCAAGCTAGCTCTCAAGGTGAAGGAACTTTTGCAAGTTCTTGACACTTTGGCAGTTTCATCCAAATGCACGGATGTTTGATGTGTGTTTTTGTCTGTGGTGCGCCTTGGTCATGGGCCCACGCAAGGCCTGAAATCCAACCTGTGCAACTTTGTGATCGGCTATGACGTCTTTTGGCTGGATGTAGTAAGGATTGCTCACAGCCGCGCTGTTCCCGTTTCTGAGGTTATCAACACCATGTTCGAAGACAGCAAGAGGAGTCTGTGCAATGACTGTGTACAAGCATCCGTGTACCGTTGTGATTCTGACTGACAATTCTGCTCAGCAGGCAATCAACAGTGACACGCGCATTCAAGCAATGCGGCAATATCATGCCCAGCTGGAAGGTCCAGGATGTTCTCATGTGTGCCCATGTCATTCTGTTTGAGAACTCGGTCAGTATTTGTTCAATTCTTTCACCAGGACTTCATTTACATCAAGTCAAAGTACATGAACGCATGCTTGAAGGCCTGGCTCACATCGAGCAATGTGATTCATACCAGATCAATGACCAGGCTAGCATTCCAATGGCTCCGACCATATTCGCCCTCAAGGACAAGCGAAGCCCGGCAAAGCTGTTGAAAGAGATCAAGGTGCCAATGCCGACTAGACTCACTAGACACCGCACACAAAGCTAGACACAAAGAAACACAGAAATACATGGTGTCAATTGTTCCAAGAAGCTCCAAGCGGGTAAGGCGCGTGGCTGGAAGACCTTCGTCATGAAGCAATCCATGATGGCATTCTCTCTGGGCTTCTGCACCTCACTTGGTTGTCATTGCCTTTCTGCCATTGCACTGTGGTGATACTTGAAGGCAAACTCAAAGTTGAGGATTGTGAGAAGGACCCGATAAATCAAGGAGCCCTCAGATTTGAGACAGCCTCGTGCCAGCTACGTCAGGATCCTTCCATCCTCAAGAAGTACTTCAAGGAGTATTCAGACTGTCCGGAGTATGTCGTTCAGGACAACAAAGTCACACAGAGCAAAGACATGAGCCGAGATTCGCAGGAATGTATCGAGGGATTCAGCCGCAACTGGGAGACCAGAGTGTTCTGGTTCAATGGCGAGTTCTTGCGCCCTGGAGAAACGTGATGCGGAACGTTTGGTCTAGATGCGGTGCATGGGCCAAGGTACGCCATTGCCAATAAAGCCGCTGTTTCCACCGAGGACAGCAAAGCATTGCTGCACTGAATGCACAATCCTGTAGCCTCCCACCCAGCATTTGACGCATGGCAGAGATTCTATCAGGACGGCCAGGAAGTCATTATCACAGGCCGGGCACACTATGCAACCGTGAGTTGGGCTTTTGAGTGAACACATGCAACTGTCAAGCGGTTGCTGCGATTTAGGCAGGGATCTCCCATATCAAGGGCTTACAATTCCACGTGATGTGTTGCTATGCCTCATGCATCCCTCTAGCGACAGGTGACGACATCCCAGCAGAGTTTCTGGAAAACGCAAAGAGGATTGGCAAAGCAGCCCTTGAGGCCTGATTGGGCTCCTATGTGAGCGGATCCATTCTCCTGGTGTTGTCATTGCCTCTTTTTGTTTGTTTTTGCTAAAGACGCCTTACCCTGCATGCCAGGTCTTACCTCAGTTGACGGCCCCGTCGGGCGCGCCTATTCCCATGCAGCTTGGCTGGATCGATGCTTGATTGAGCTTGGTACGCCAGCTTTCTCTTTGTCTCTTTCTCTTTTTCAATTTTTTAGTAGTGTTTCTTGTCTTTTTTTTAATGGTATTTTTCTCTTGTTGTTTCTCTTGCTTGCTTGCTTGCTTACTTGCTTGCTTTCTTTCTTTGCTTTCTGTCTTTTGTTCTTTCTTTCTTTCTTTCTTTCTTTAGTTCTTTCTTTCGTTCTGTTTTTCTTTCTTTCCTTCCTTCCTTCCTTCCTTGTTTCTTGCTCGCTTCTTCTTTATTTCCTTCTTTTTTCCCTCTTTTGGTATTCTCTTTGTTTCTTTTCCTTTCCTTTTCCTTTTCCTTTTCCTCTTTCCCTTTTTCTCTTTCCCTTTTTCACTTTCCCTTTTCTCTTTTCCCTATGCTCTTTTCCTCTTTTCCTCTTTTCCTTTTCTTGTGTATTTTCCGATTCCTTGTCCTTATCCCTTTCCCTTTCCCTTTCCTTTCCTTCCTTCCTCTCTCTGTCTTCCTTCCTGCCTTCCATCCTTTCTTCCTTCCTTACTTAAGTTTTTGTCTGCTTTTTATCTTTCTCTTTCGTTGTGTCCCTTTGTTTCGCTCTTTTTCTCGTTTTCATTTTTTTGTTTCATTGTCACTCTTTCAGTCTTCTCCTTTGTTTCCTTTTATCTCTTTTTCATTTCTATCTTCTGTTTTTGTCTTTGATACACTTTCGGTCTTTCTCTCTTTCTCTCTTTGTGATTTGGGTCCAGGGTGGTGAACTTTCTCACTTTGGTATGTCTGGGAAACGCATCGGAGTGAGTGACGTTTCAACTTGCTTTTCCACCGATAATGACAGATAGTACGTCCTAGCGCCCCAATGTGATTTGGTTCCAGATTGATGAACATTCTCACTTTGTTTTCCTTTCAGAATTGCAGCTAGTAATTCCCAGTGACTCACTATGTTTTGGTCCCCAAACTATTATTATTATTATTATTATGATTATGATTATGATGATCATGACTATGATAATGATGATGATGATGATGATGATGATGATGATGATGATGATGATGATGATGATGATGACGACGACGACGACGACGACGACGACGACGATGATGATGATGATGATGATGATGATGATGATGATGATGATGATGATGATGATGATGATGATGATGATGATGATGATGATGATATGATTATGGTTGTTTCAAATATACTGGCGCCTCCATGGTTTTCTCCATCGTGTTGTTTTGATTTGCACACCTGATCTGGGCCCCAGAATTCAACATCCAAATGCACCCTTTCGGCACGATGATGCAACTTAACCCGTGTCCTTGTACATGCCGGAACACTTGTGGGTTCCCTGTAAAGCCATCCAAACAAGTTCTCTATTTTGGGACAGACCTGCATGTGTTTCGTCGTTCTCGGCTTTGCGTGCCTTGCCGCAGTCCCTTGTGAGGACTCTGATTCGTACAGATATTGGATGCTCTGACAGCAAGGTCTTTGACAAGGAAATTGAGATGTGCATTTGGGGCGGAGCTTGCGTTTAGCTGGACAAGGCATGACTGTTCTCACTGCCGGTCTTTTGATCAGGACACTGACTGGGATCCCAGCAAACGGACCTTTTTCTTGAACGAGATTGAGCTGCAGAGCTGCAATTGTGATTTGCGAGGGAGCTGCAATCGCAATGTTACATGCTGACAAGTTTGCAAGGTATGGTGGGACCACGTATTTCATCCGCCATCTGAAGGAGGACTTTGTGCCGAAGCCTTCCGACAGCAGCAAGAACTTACTGCTTGATTGGTGCAGAGCTTGATGTTTTTGATGCATCCCACCAGATGGTCAGGTGGGCTGAACTTTATGCGAACAAAGCACGTGAGCTGCATGGCGAAAGCTTGAGTAAATTGAGTTTGCATGTTGGCTGTGTGGACAAAGGAGTCTGACCATGCCAAGGATTTCTGCACATCAGGAACATGGTACTGATGAGCCACCCAGCAAGCGGGCGCGAACAGGCATGCATGCATAAAAGGGAAGGCATGCATGCAAAGGGGCATGTACGAGTGACGAGCTGTGCCAGGCACGGCCATGAAAAAGCCTGCTGCAAAGGCAAGTGCTGCAGGTGCCTTCACGTTGAGCAATACTGCCCGTTTTGGTGTCGAGTGTGGATTTTCCTATCTACCGTTTTGTTCTCATGCAGATGCCTTGTGCCTTGACAAGAAACACAAGGTCGGAGATGACAGGACTGAAGATGCAGGTGCGTACCTTCAATGCAAGAGGCTGTCGGCTTTGCCTAATGTACAGTAGGATTTGCATAGCAAAGCTGTCACTCATTACGGCTGTTTCAAGGCATGTCGTGTGGGCGCCGCCCCTTTGAGATGCCAGAAGTGTTGAACAGACAGCCTTGCTTTCGGGAATTTTTGGGAATGGGAGGGATTGCAGCACTGCTGCACACGGGGAGCTGCTCCTTTGGGGCTACGAGGTTTGATAATGGCATGACCTGGCAAATCCTGGAGCGGGGAAAAGAATGAGCGCATGCTTGTTCCTGTGAACATGTAGGTGTTTGTTGATGCTTGCGTGCAGTCTGATATCTTTTTCATCACGTTCAGGTGATGCCGCCAAGCTTCAAAATTTGATGGTTCAGGTGATGCCGCCAAGCTTCAAAATTTGATGAACAGATTGATTCATGGACAGCCTAACAAGCATCGATGCCTGGACTTCAAGCCATGCATCATCAATGATTGTGTTGTTCACGAATGCCTTTGATGCAACAGATTTACACACCGGCATGGATGCGCCAAAGAGCATGCGCAAGCTGGTCTTGCATTTTGATGTCAACTCCACGAGACTTGCAGCAAGATACGTGACCGTTTTAGATTTTAGACCACCTTCTTGTACAAATATGGGGTCCTAACAGGGTGGATTTGCTCTTAAACGTATGCCTGCCAAAAAGGTGGCAGAAGGACCACTTGAAAAAGGCGGAAAGAGACACGCAACAGTTTGTAGGTCCTTTTTTGACACATTGCTACATGAAGACAGGTATGAAGACACAAAGACATGCAGACATGACATCGACAGTAGATCACAAGACGCCATGTGGCAGCACTCTCTTGGAACTGACTTGAACGAACATACTTTTGCGCAAACTGAAGGCCTCAACGCAACGGAAGGTTCATTGAGGCCCGAGTTTCAATCCAATGTGGTTTACGCACACACACATAGCCTGGCACGCACAGCGCTCGAGGGATGTTGAGACCAGACGTGACTGACTCAGACCGGGCAGAGCACAGCACCTAGCAAGCACTGCAGCACACACAGTGTTATTGTTCAATGAGTCATCGCATGTTCCTTTCTTGCAGTCCCTCGAGAGCGAGTCCTTTTGTCAGCCCATTCCTCTCAGCAGATTCGCCTCACGTGTGTTGTTTTGCTCTCAGTGCGGAATTCAATCGTTCACAGTGGCCATCAGCAGCTGCCACGATACACAGTGTGGGGTTGGGTCTGTATGTGCCGTATGCGAGGATCCTTCTTGCCGATCCAGCTAGTGGAAGGTCCGCCAGCGTAGCCTTGATGCTCAGCAGGCATGAGGGCTCTTAAGTTTCAGCGCAGTCTGCAAGCCACAAGCCGCGAGCCTCGCTTGTTGTTACTTGCTGAGCTGAGCTTAAGTTGTCTTCCTCAGGAACTGCGAACTTGCCAAGTGCGCCTACGTGAAACGAGACGCTGACGGCATAGCAGCTATTCTGGAATGGACAGTTTGAAAACTGGCAGACGTGTGTGTTTGTGCACTGGCGCACTGGCCGTCCACTGTTGGCAATTGTGATGCTTCCAGGTTTGGCACGACGGCAGAGCATTCGACGACGAAAGCTGTGCACGAAATCCGCCAGAGCTGATCATGGACGCTGATGAGCCACCAGTATGGGCTGCCAATGACTGGGAGGAGTGAAGCTTGATTGAACGTGTCGGCGTAGATTGGCACTTTTGGCAAGGACTACTATGAAGCAATGCGCCCTCGTGGCCGCGAATTCATTTATACGACGGAGGGCTCTGTATACCGGAGCGAGTTTGACCGCCTTATGCAACGCTTGAAGTGGCATGGCCCTGCAATAGAAGAACTCATGCTGTCGGAAGATGGGACTGGACCCAAAACACTGCATTTGGTGGTGCCAGCGCTGTTTCGCTGCATAGCAGAGTTGAAGAAGCAGAATCGGGACTTTGTCGTGGTGCTTCGGACCTACGGGCATGATCTCCCAGAACTGCAGAGAGCATTTGACCTCTTTGCTCGTGGTGAACATCCTCTCTTTCCAGAAGTTCAGGATGCAAGCCTGGCCTTCGATGGCTGCTTGGCCTAACTTCCAGCTTGGATGCAGAATGCAGTGAGGCAGAAGGTCGAAAATGCAAAATGCAAGAGGTTCGTTTGATTTAATCATGAGTCGTGAGCACATGAGTGCAAGGTGTCATTGACCTCAGATGGGATGCAGAGGGGCGGCCAACGATGCTGCTGCCTGATGGAAGGAATATTGATGACGAGAATGCAATGTATGAGCTCGTCCCCTTGCCTGAATCTGAATTACTCGATGATTGAGATGTGCTAGAAGTAAAGTGTGACGCTAGATGACTTCAGGCCTCATCCAGGCTCTGCATGCATAATCAAGAGGAGATAGCTGGCCTTTATATGAGGTGACGCATTCTCCACGAGCACTAGCGATCAGTGACCACTTTGAGCACTGGCAAGCTGGAGGCTACAGTCCAATGGCTGGCAAACCATTTTGGTTTGATCGCTCAGATGAGACAGTTCAGCACATCTTTTTTGCCCGGGTCTCAGTTCCCACTAAGTGGCTGGAGATGAGCACACCTGTGATACTCTAGAAGTAGATTGGCTGTGCATGATTCATTCGCATTCGAGCAGCCGCGCCAGAGGCAGACTCTGGCTCTTTGCATGCCCCAGTTGTTGTTGCACACTAGTTTGGAATTTGTTAGCGCGCACTCAGCAGTTTGAAGCATGATTCACATGTATGGTCTTTGACAGTCTTAGGGTTGACTGAGCAATTTGACGTAGGCGATCAACTACTTGATGCTTGGGAGCCATGCTAATGCCCATTTTGCCGCTTTCTTCAGAAAGATGTTGAATAACCCCACTTCTGGCATGCAGCGCGCATGTGTTCATTGCGTTCCAGGTCAATCAAAGTGATTGACTGGGGTTTTGCTGACAAATCTTCAGAGTCAAACACATTTTGCGGCGACAATTGCCAGCATTGCAAGACGCCAGCTTCACTATCCTTGATGAGCAGCCTCAAACCACCAACACAACTTTTTGAGACATGCAAGGACTATGATGCGTTTAAGTGGAAAGCCCAACGGCAGACCAGTTGTCGTGCACGCAGACGCACACAAGAGCCTGCAAGGAACACATCTCAACGCAAGCACATCTTCACTGCAGCAAGACAAGTCGAAAGACAGTTGCAAGAGCAGAGCTTTTTTTCCGTTGTGGAAACCGCAGTTTTGTGTTGTTGCGAGCTGCCACACCAAGGACGACAATGTGCACTACAAACACAACGATTCCATTGTTGTGACTGGTCTGGATACATGAGGAGTTGAGAAGCACGGCTTGTCCACATTCTTTGTTGAGGCTGTTCGCGCACGACCACACGCAGCTGCCTACTTTCAGGCATTGCCTGGAGAAGATATCTTGAAATACTGGCGCTGCAGCGTTATCAAAGCCCGCATAACGGCAGCTATTGACAATGCCTCCCAGAAGCACTGTGAAGTTGATTCTGATTGGGCATGATGTAGCTGGAACCCAGGAATTATACTTCCTTCATCGCATCGAGGAGTGCTGACTGAGAGAGCTGGCCTGGGCCACATACTGTATTGGTGGGTTGAGCAGTCTGGCATGAAGCACACTCAAACAAGAGGCTGGTCATGCTTGTGCGCGGCTGTATGACGTAGCAGATACGAATATGTTTTGTTGCTCCGCGCCAGGAGGCAGAAAGGCTATTTGTGGAACGGCGTTTGTCACTTCCTGTACCAGCTGCGTCTCTTGTCCTCATTGTGGAGTAATCTCGCCCCACCTGCATTTTTGCCACAGTCGAATTTCAACGCCTCCGGCTCAGGCCGCCGACATTACAGGCCTGCTTTCTTTTTTGCGTCCCTTTGGAATTGTCCCCTTGCCCCCTTTCCCCCTCTAAGATCTTTGCCCCCCTTTCCCTGTTGAGATCCTTTCCCCCTTTCCCCCCTAAGGCCTTTTCCCCGCCTGAGATCTTCTCCTTTTCCTCCCAAAGATGTTTTCCCCCCTTTCCCGGTTGAGATCCTTTCCCCCATTTCCCCCTAGGGCCTTTTCCCCCCGAGAAAGATTTCCCTTTTCCTCCCAAAGATCCTTTCCCCCCTTTCCCCCCTAAGGAACTTTTTCCCCAGATCTTCTCCCTTTCCTGAGATCATCTCCCTTTTCCTCCCCAAGATCTTTTCCCCCGGTTGAGATCCTTTCCCCCTTTCCCCACGAGATCTTCTCCCTTTTCCCTCCCTTTGCCTGTGGAGATCATTTTCCCCCCGTTCCCCCCTAAGGCCTTGTCAGATCTTCTCCCTTTTCCTTCCTAAGATCTTTTGCCCCCTTTCCCTGTTGCGATCCTTTCCCCCTTCCCCCCAAGGCCTTCCCCCCCCGAGATCTTAAGGCCTTCCCCCCTTTCCCCCCTAAGACCTTTCCCCCCCTGAGATCTTCTCCCTTTTCCTCCCGCATTTCACCCCCTAAGATCTTCTCCTTTTTCCTCCCTAAGATCTTTTGCAACCTTTCCCTGTTGAGATCTTTTCCCCCTTTCGCCCTAAGGCCTTTCCCCCCTGAGATCTTCTCCCTTTTCCTCGCCAAGATTTCGCGGTTGAGATCCTTTCCTTTCCCCCCTGAGGCCTTTGTCCCCCAAGATTTTTCCCTTTCCCCCCCCCCCCCCCCCGATCTTCTCCCCAGTTCCCCGCCTAAAATCTTTTCCCCCCCCTTTTCCCCCGAAGATCTTCATTTCCCATGTCCCTTTATGTCTGCATGTTCCTTCACCAGCATGGGCAATATCCCCAGCGTCACTTGCATCATCCGCATCCTTGGCAGGCGCTGATGCGGATGATGCAGGTGATGCTGGCGATGTTGCCCAGGAGGTAAGGATGCAAACGCGGACCCGGGGGGAATCGAACACCCCAATGTTTTTGCGCCACTGTGTTCCGCACAGCCCCCAAAAGAAAGGATTGGCGTGGTACGGGCGACCCCCCCCCGCAATGGTCTGAAACCGTGCCCGGGTAAGGGGAGTCAAGAGGAGCATTTCCTATGTGTTTTCCTGAGGTGACATCTTTGCATTGAGCACCCGTGCAAAAGGGTGCCTGATGCCACGGACTGGTGATGCATGCAGTGTGGCATTGGAGCTGCGCAACAGCACTGCCCTTGCCATTGCTTGCGCTCAAGGTATATACATCACATGTAAAGGCAGCACGTGGCGGATGCATGAAGACACACATTCGCGCAGTATTTGTTGCAGATGCGCAGCATATTGATTGGCATTGATAGCTTGACATGCATGTATGAGGACTACCTCCACGTCCCAGCTGGTTGGTGGGCTTGTTGGAGCTACTTCACTTCCTTTCCATGACGCATACATAGACTTGGTGTGCCATGACAGCGTTGGAAGCTGAGAGTGAGCATCTTCAGAGCGCTTTTCTGGCTGAAGCCTGATGTAGCTTCGGCAGGAGTGACGGAATCAATAGCTAAGCTTAACCTGCAAGGGGTGGCTGCATCAACGATTTGGTTTCTTTCAAAAACCGGTTTCATATTTATTATAGACCGTGATGTTGCAGAAGCGACTTTCGCAATTGTGCATCAGTTGTTGAAGGCGAGATGTGGACTGTATGGCAAGCTCCAGATCAATGCAGTGGCCTTGCCTCCAATGGACGCAAGCCGTGCTGTTGTGTCCAGGCCCAATCTCCTCCCAGCCGGAGCAACACAACTGCCTGAGAATGCCCGTTGGGTGGCAGCACGTTGGCGTCTGAGAAAACCATTCAAGGCCTTTCTTTGAACAGTGTTCTGTGCACAGGAGTCGCCAGATTAGATTGCGACATTTGAAAGGTGGCAGCGGCTGCTACCACTTCCTGAACTCTGACCATGTGCAGCACGAACAGCTTCATGGAGCCTGTGCCCTGGTTTGCTAGGCCTGCACTAGCCGTTTCTCAGAACACCAATGCAGACCAACGTGCTGAGGCTGCTCAATCTGTCATGTGGGGTCAGCGGCGAAGGCTACAGGCAGGGAACATTGGCATCTCGTTTTTTCGTTGCTGTCAGCTGAACACCAGGATGAACGTCGACAACGGAGCTTGCGACTTTTGGATCACTGCAGTGATGACATGTACGCTTCCCAAGCTTGCACCAACTGGTTGGCTGCTTGTTCAATCTTTGCCCTTTTTGCTGAAGACGCTCACCGTCAAGGGGATCACAGCTTATCGATCGGCGATGTGTGCACAATTGAGCCTCTTCAGCCAATGTCGCGCATGTGGTGGTAGATACACAGCCGTTTTGCATTGATTTGTCCACCAAAGTGTTTCAGCATACCACCGGGAGCCATTAAAGACCTTTAATTGTCATGACTCGCTTCCTATGCCTCCCGTTGCACTCCAAAGTAGGGACCATAGAGAAGCCTTGTATTGCGGAGTCAGCTCCTTTTTTTTGCGAAGGGTTTCTACGCAGTTTTTTTGTGAGAGATTGCACAGAGGAATGTCAGAGAGATGGCTTTTAACTTGTAAGTACAAAGAGATTGCTCAGCGAGAGCACGGAGATTCCTCAGAGAGATAGATTGCTCAGAGATGCTCCCGAAGACTTACGCCCGACTGCAGTTGTGGTGTTGACATGTAAAAGCCATCGTGTGTCGATGGACAAACCACCCATAGATGCTGGATCGTGTGCATCGATGCACCAGCCCAAAGGACATGGACACATCACCAACAGCCCAGACTTCTTTCGGTGCACAGCACCCGCGTGGATCGCGTGGATCGCGTGGATCGCGTGTGATGTGCAACAGCCGTGGGCTGATGGAGCCGAAGGCTTGCTCAAAGGGATGCGAAAGCTTGCCAAAAGCTTTCAGCGACGATGCAAAACAGTTGATTCATGCCAGACATACATATTCACGTGTTGCTTTCAGGAACTAAGTTTCCATGATATGAATTCCTTGGAAGCATGCGTGTAATAGCCAAAAGGGCTGCAGAATGCCTGACAGGCCGCTAGGTTCCATTTTGATCATCTTCCTACCATCTTGCGATGAGTTCAGCTCAAAGATGTGCTTACCAACGGCTCCAGGGCCCTCACAGGGGTCTTTGGATTTCGGTCGTTATGTTGGTCCTTTCACAAGTGCGATCAGACGTGAGTGGACGCCACGCGCTTCCGCTTGCACGATAGCGGCGTGGCAGTGCTTGCGCGGCATCCTATGAGTCACGTGTTTCGCAGGCGCGAAGTCCACGGCAGGGCAAAACAAAAAAAACAACCCCAATGAACAAGTATGATACAAAGGAGGCTATTCACGCCTTGCTGCAGGGGACTCAACATAGACTTTGCAATGCTCAGGCTTCTTGGCTCGCCCTGGTAAACAAGATAGTGGTGCCCCTTATCAACACGCATCCCAACTGAGATGCTGAACCTCTGTCATATTGGATAAGCCCTGAGCTGAGCATGCTGGTGATAATGCTGGCGATGATGGCAGTGTTGTTAATGCTAAATGTGCTGCTGGTGGTGCTGGTGATTTTGGTATTGCAGGTAATGCAGGTGAAAGCATTTTGCTTAACAGCACGTGGCTATAAGAAGTCACGGGCAGGGTCACAATGAATGTGAAGGGGTGAGCATTTGAATTGGCTGCAGGTCGAGCACCACTCAGGAGAAGGCACAGACTGAGCAATACACAGCTGTTTTGCATTGTGGGTGAGCTTGCGTGCAGCCTTTTGCCAGCTTCTTGCGGTGCGATCCAGCACCTATGACATCAATGGCAAGGCAGGCCGCATGTGCTCGGCTAGAGGTTTCTTTGACAGGGAGCTCTCCCATTGAGCTTTAACGCTGCGCCCAGATCTTTGCAGCCGGCAAACAAGCCACTGGACCTCCGAAGCAAGCTGCACGTGGTCACTGGCTCACACAGGCCATTTCTGAATTGCCAGGTTCAGGAATTCAATGTGCTGTCAAGGGCTACGAAGGGGCTCTCAAGGTCAAAGTGTTGAGGCACAGCCTGGCAGGTCAATGGCATGACGAACAGATACAACATCATCAATGGCACAGCGTTAAGGCCTCAACTGGCTCCGTTTCAACACATTTTCAAGCTTGGCCCAGGCATCTATTGTGTCGAGGGTGATTTTAGGCCTTTGGTTGTGACTGCCCCCATGGTGCGCCGTCCTGAGGTCGAGAATGGACCACCAGGGTTCGGTCAAACAAGACACGTCAACACACCAAGCATGTTGTAAGGCATGAGGGTTCGTTCACGTCTGCATGTTCTGTCCCGCGATGCATATTGAGGTGTACTCATGGGCTCAAATTTGTCAACTGTCTAGTGGGTGAGGCACATTTGAAATTTGACTGCTGGGCTGAGGCTGAATCCTGCCATCAGCCGCCACAGAGATGATGAAGTAGAGAGGTACCTTTGGTCTTCTTTTTTGAGCAGTAGACTGTAGGCAGTGACCGCATTTGTTTTTCATTTGTGATCTTATGCCAGGCTTTCAGTCACACTTCGAGGGGGCAGCTTTGCTGGACATGTGCAGCCTTTGCGTTCTGTCCTAAGTGACTTTTGCTTGCTGCTGGAATGGACAGATTTGTTGCGCAGATGCCAGACCCGCAGCTTGCAAGGCGATGTGGCTTGCTACGACATACCTGGATTTGTGCCAATCAGGAGGGCTGATAGTTTATTCCTGCATTGACATTTGCTCAAAACAGCTGAGTCTCAGTGCAGGCAGCGCGAGCTTCCTGGTATAGTTGAGCGAACCTATACTCTGAATAGCTGAAGGCCACTTTCTTGCTGTGCCTGACCATCATGTTTCACCGAGCAGGCTTCCTCAAAGGAAGATGCTGGTCTGATGTAGGAGAGCTACCGCGAAGTATGTGGCACAAACTTCACACACACTCATGCTGGATGCTTGCCTCCGCTTGAGCTTGACATGGTACTGATTCAACTGATTCAAGGGCGTTGAAGCTCTGATGATATCTCCGCGATGCAAGGGCGCTTTCTCGCTTTCGCTGTGGCCTTCTTTATATGCCTCTTCTGCTGTATGTTTGTTTTTTTGTTGGGCAAGCGATCCATGCTGTACACCACAGGCATTTTGCCACGGGGCATTTGACAATGAGGTGAAGTTCAAGCACAGGTTGATATGCGCCACATTGGTATGTGTCACATTGATATGTGCCACAAAAGCGCAGATCCTACCAACTTCTTTTGTGATTTTGCAAGTTTTAGGGATATTGTCTTGCGCTCCTTAGCGCCTTCAGCAGTTCCAGCCATGTTGGCATTGTAAGACATGTTGTTGAGTGAGTATGTTAGAGCACCAGCAGCTGCGCTGATTGGCCGGAAGTGTCCTTGGTAATGCGGCTTCAGAGGGCCATGCCTGGTTGCCGCCTTGCCCCCCCCCATCCCAGGTAAGCCTGACGTGCATGAGCCATTGCTGCTGCAGAGGCCCCCACACACGCCCCACCTTTTTCACACCCCACCTTTTTCCCTGATGCGTGCGTGCGTGCGTGCGTGTGCGCGTGCGTGCGCGCGTAGTGCGTGCGCGCCATTCACCGGCATGCACCAAAAGCCAATTAGACAAAGAACGCATCCCCGGCATCTCCCCTCAGCCTCACAAAAACCTGCGAGAACGACTAAACAGACACGGTATTTGCGATGTTTTGTGCAAAATCGCTTTTGCGGAAACCCCGCTCGCTGGATCACATCCCCAAAACACTCCCAGGGGCCATGGCTGGTGATGCAGGAATGCTGGGGAGATGTCGATCACGGCTCTGTTGCCATCGGGTTGCATTGACTCAAGTTGGCTCAACAGTATCTTCCACAGGACATGCCAGGCCACTCAGCAAATGACCACTGCAAGGACAACAGCTGCAGTTACAGAGCAAGCCACACCCTGATACAAGCGATTTAATTGATTTGGACTGTACAGCTTTCATTTACTCTCACCATATGCGACCTCGCCATGGCTAAAAGAAAAAACAAGGTCAAGAAAAACAAGAAAGGCACCTGTCAGTTCTTTGTGCTTGGGAGTGTGGTGGACGTTTGCTTGTTGACCAGGCGCCATTAGGAAGGCTGACAAGATCCATGGCCAAAAGAAAGGAAAGAAAGGAGAAGCGGCGGCATACGTAACCCGTGCTCAGGTCCGCAGTCCAGTTTGATTGATTGATACGACAACTCTTCAGACTGGTGACTGCCTTTGCTCGACAACACGTCGGCATGCATAATCTTAGTTTTGACGCAGGCGCTGGCAAAACTGCAGCTGCCGTTGGCAGACTTTCGCAAGCTTTGCATCTTGAAGGCCGATTGAACCTGGAGATTGCTTGGACTCTTGAGTCGTTTTTTTGCAGTCTCAGCTTTAACATACTCATCAGCCATTCTTTGCAGGGTATCTATCCTCGTGATCCGAAGAAGAAAGCGCACGGCAATGATAAAACCTACTATCACCAGAAGGACATTGCCTTCCTTCGGCATGAGTCCTGGCCTTGGTTCCGAGCAGTGCCATCCTTCACACCATTGGGCTTGACTGAGAGAAAGAACGCTCCCTTGTTGGATGCATGGCATGCTCAGGCCCTTGCTGAGCAAATTCTTCGAGATGAAAACTTTCATGAAGAAGCCACCATCTCAGATTGCAGCCTAGATGGTTGGCAAGGCGATAGGCGCGGATTTGCTACATATTTCTGTGTAAGTTGTTGTAAGCTGCACTGGTTGTGGCCATGTTGGTTCAAGTGCAGGATGTCAAACACCATTGCACCAAGGTTCAAACGTTTGATGGGACGACGAGAGATCAAAAGTGCAAGACGACTCGAGGACTGCTGTACCTAGTATGTGTATATATAACTCGAGCGGTGCCGCTGTTTGGATATCACGCATATGCTGTTCACTGTTGAATACACACCTACTAGATGCAGGGCAGAATGCCTCCTTGAGCAAATGTGATCGTGTATCTGGGTTGCTCTTGCTCTCAAACAGTCAGAATTCGATCTTCCAGGAGCGCAAGCCAAAGTACACGCTGCATCACCTAGTACGTGAGAGGCGCGCCATGCTAGCAGCCATGGCTGATGAGGAGCCACCTAGGCTTGTTAGTGGCAAAGGAGGACAGGCTCTTGATGTCCTTGCACACAGCCGTCAGACGACACGACGCGCATCAAGAACGAATCATGGCTATACACATGTATATGTATATATATATATATATATATTATATTGTATATGTATATATATTTGTATAAATACGCACACACACACATACATACATACATATATATATATATATATGCACCCCCCCCCGCCCCGATGGATCTACCTTTTTGCCGTTTGAAGGCTATTTTGGAGATGGAATGCAGTTGTTTTATTTGGAATGCCCCGTGCGACTTGACCAGCGTCAGCTCACCCTGAGCAAGGAAATCCTCTTCAAAGTCTGAATTTGGAATACTAATTCCCATTATGTTTTTCTTTTTTTCTCCCTTCGTTGAAAGGAACTTCTATTTAAATCGTCTTTAAAGTCAGATTTCCTTATTAGATTCCAGTAAATTCTAAATACAAAGTGGAGAAACAATCTCCCAGGAAAGAGCGTTCTCTTTAAACACATGTTTGAAGTAAGAATCCCAATTATCAATGTTCTTCAAAATGGAAAACATATTCAAATCATCTTCAAGTGTAGACAGTATATCACTTTCAATTTCTATTTAAGGTCTAGATAGAAAATGTCACAAATCAGACATCCTTATAAACATCTATTTTAAGAATTCCAATCATTGAACGCATTTAAAAAAAGAAACACATACATTATGTAAATGCTCTTTACAACTAGACATTCTATTAGAATTATGTAAAGAACACACACACTATGTAAGTGCTCTTTAATACTAGACATTCTGTTAGAATTATGTACTTATTAAATTCTATTGAACCTATGCCAACACATCAATCCGTTTGAACATCTAGGTTCAAATGATAATTTTGACTACACATCCAGTTCGACAAGGAAATCCTATTTAATTTCTCTTTAAACTAGAAACTCTACTAGGTAGGGTGCGTTCCGTATTAAGTTTCGTATTAAATTCCATTTCAATTCCAATTAGAAAATTGAACGAACACAATCCTAGAAGAAGATCCCCTTTTAACGTCATTGTTCCACTCTTTTTTGAGACAAGAACTCTAATCATTGAAACAAATAAATAAAACCTTATTGAGTACTTTGATGTTCAAGCAAAAAAACACTAGAAAAGCAACACACACAGTGAGTTTATTTGAACAAAAAGAACATGTTTCCAATGAAACTGATTGAACAGACAATTACAAGAAGTAAGTCCGCTTCGAGTCAATCAACCCCACACCCTACACCCTAAACCTGTCCATTCTAAGCTGAGGCTTGGTCAGAGGAAGCAAAACAGCAGCTATATTGGAGAGGTCAAAACATATACAAGTGACGTTACAGAGCCAAAAACCCAAAAGTAAAAGCATAAAGTCCTGGAGCGAATGCTCCAACAGTAAAGAGTAAAAGAACCCAAAACAAAACATGAGGAGCCAATGATCCAAGAGCAACCACAGTAATTTGTTGGAGCCAGAGACCCAACAGTAAAAACGCAAAGCGGAGAAGTAAATGTCTGGCGCCAATGACCCAAAAGCAAAAGAAGTAAAAAAGCAAAGAAGTAAAAGTAACAAAGAAAAACAAATGACAAAAAGTAAAGAAGTAAAAGTAAAAGTAAAAGAGCAAAGAAGTAAAAGGGGGAAAAAGCAAGTAAAAAAGTAAATCAAGTAAACAAGTTAATCAGTAAAAAGTAAAAACGTAAAACAAATCAGCCCATGGTCCTGAAGTCAGATGCTTTGGACCACGGGCTGATTTTTTTTTTCGTTTTAATGTTTTTACTTTTTTACATTTTTACTTTTGGGTCATTGGCTCCAAACTTTTATCTCTTTACGACTTCACTTTTGGGCCAACGGCTCCAACATAGCTGCTGTTTTGCATCTTCTGACAAAACCTCAGACTAAGAATAGGACAAAGGTAGATCCAAACCGACTGGATTCAAGATTCCCTGGAAAAGCTTGGCCTAAAGCTTGTCTTTGGACTCGCGCCTTTTTTTGCTGCTTTCCCCAAAGCCTCAAAAACGGCACAACACACTGCACATACCAGTGAATTATCGAGGAAGGTAGATCCATGGGGGGGGGGTACAATACATATATATATATGTATATATATATATGTATATGTATATATATATATATGTATATATAGATATAAATGTAGATGTATATATATATATTTTGTATGCTACCCCCCTTGAAATACTCAGGTTTTTGGCCAGAACTGAGGTCTTTGGCCAGACTGGGGGTGACAATTGCCTTGAGACTCTGAAATGAACTGACTGGACGCGCAACTCCGTGCAAACTCCAACCAGGCAGAAGTTAAGCTCAACGTTGAATAGGAGTTGTGTATTGGCGTGCGCGAAGTGAACATAAAGTCCCTTTGGAGTATGCAAAGTGCACTTTGGCAGCTCCAGCTCAAAAAGCACAACTTTACAGCACAAGAGTAGTGCGCGAAGTATGCTTTGGCAGCTTCAACGCGCCTGTAGCAGGTCTATTATTTGGTTTTATGTCTTTTTGTTTGGCAGCGAAATTCAGCAAATCATCAACTTGGGAAAAGGAACTCATTTCTACTTCATGTCCTTGCGCAACAACGTGCGCTCCCGGTCTGCCTTTTGGATTCTTCAAACCCTCCACGATCTGAGATGTAGACCACCTGTTCTGGAAATCTTCAATCCATCCTTAGGACAAACTAATATGTGCTAGCACGTGCTAGCACATCCCTCCTGGATTGAAGATTGAAGATTGAAGAATGCCAGAGAGAGTTGTCAGAGAATCTTCAATGTTCAATCTTCAATCCA